GCAGAAGTGCTGTTTGTTTGATCAGGTCTTTGTATTTTATCTAAAAAATGTGACGTTCCCAAAACAAGGACCTTTATTCCTGCTGCTTCTTTGTATCCACCCAACAGCTGCTAAACTCATGCCACATGTTGTAACTTCAGGTAGAGATTGTTTTTTTTTATTTTAAAAAAGGAGCTTTTTGAGGATTTCATGAGGTTCTTCAGGAGCTGAGACGGTGGTTCTCCTCCCCCTAGTGGTGCGTTGGAGTAGTGCAACATCAAGGAGTTGGAAGAATTCAACTTTTTAAAAAAATATTTTCTTTTAAAGGAAAAAAATATAAGTATGGAATATATAAAACCAAATATATTTATTCCAATACAATTGTAAAAATGTAAAAAAGAAATATAAAAAAATAAATGTATCTTTTTAGTTTACAGTGATAAATTGATAAATCTCCTTACTGCTGCCAGATGTAAAAAAAATAAAAAATGTAAAGATATAACACATTTTAGAATATAGATTGTTAATATATAGTTAGTTTGGTGTTCAGAACAAAAGTCACCCTGAGGCACCATGTTAAACTCTTGATGATCTGATTTGAAAATGATGGCTGTGATGATCCTGTGACCTCACAAGATGTGCTCCTGCAGTTGTTTACTCCATGGCGATCTATAGGCGTAATGTTCTTCAGTCTGAGTCAGGCTGACTCATTGATACAATAACATACGAGTCATTTCATCAGAAAAAGTGCATGCAAGATTTAAAAGTACATATATTTTGAAAATTCTTTTACAAAAATGTTCATTGCTTGTCTCTGGTCAACTTGTTGATCCTCTGCAGAAATAACCTCCAGTGTAATTGACATAAAGGTCTTCACATTAAGAGTAGATGAGCCTCAGAGACTCATGTTGTCCATGCAGAATGGACAACATGAGTCCATGAGTGAATAAAATACATTCATCAGTGGAATGAATGGGCAACAATTTGGCTTTTTGTGCAATAATGTCTTTAACTTTATTGCTGCAGCTTGAGATTGTTTTGGCTCAACAGTGAAAAAAAGAATGAAGAGCTCTATGCAAAGGTCAAAACTAAAGATTCCTGATTACATTCAGAATGTTCAGAGTTAGAACAAAGCTCCTTTCTTATTTATTTTCATTTTTAGAAAAAATCTTTTTGTTAAATAGTCTTCGAAACAGAGAATCAAATATTAACAATACAAACCATTAGAGCTGATGCTTCCACAAATTGTTCTTCTTGCTTAAATGGTTTGAGGAGTTCCCACACCCCACTCCTCAAACCACACACACATTGCAAAACAACAACAAACTTTTTTCTATGTGACAGAACAACAGATGTTATTAATCAATATCAAATACTTTAGCTCAGTTCATATCGAATGGTTTACATAATTAATGTCATTTTCAACAAGAGATAGTTTAACACAGCCCATACTCAATAAGAAATAATTACATATCATTTTAATAATGTATCTTAATCCTTAAATCTAAAATTGGGACTTCACACCATGATGAATTCATTTCAGATGCTGTTTTCTGTTTCCCAGGGATGAAAGGAAAACCAGAAATCTTCCAATTCAGCAGTTTCTGTTTTGTTGATAATCCAATTCACACAGTTAAGGTGATAAACATGCGATGAAGTGAGGAGGAGCAGAGACATGCGTCTTATCACGTAGCCGATCTGACAAAACTCTGGAATTACATCGGTGCTGATGACGCACCGCAAAGACCCCCCCACAGCAGCAGCATGCCACTGACGGAGGGAATCACTTTAGAGGATTAAGACTGTTTGGATTAGAGAGGCTGCTTACCTGGCCATCTGTCACCTTCAGATGGTTGTCCATATTATTCACATTTACAGACACAACAGATTTGCCACAAACTGATTACACTTCAGAATCAAGTCTGATGCAATGTCAGACTATTTGTATTTACAACTGAAACCAGATGTTTCCATACATGCCATGGAGCACAGGTGTCAAACTCCAGTCCTGGAGGGCAACATTCAGATGTGCCTCTGCTGCGCCACACCTGAATAGAATAATTAGGTCATTAGCAAGGCTCTACACAAGAAGGAGGTAATTAAACCATTTCATTCCAGTGTTTTGTACCTGCAGGATAGTGGTCCTTGAGGACTGGAGTTTGCCACCCCTGATGTAGAGGGATGCACAATATGACAAGAAATTAGACTAAACTTAGGGATTATCAAAGGTTTTACTATTAGCTCAACTCTAAAGTAAATTCATAAATATTTTCCCCAATAATTAATTTAAAAATAAACCAGGATGACAATTCCCGACGTCATGGCTTGATAAACTTCTTATAAAAACAAATGACACTGTGGCAGTAGCTGACGTAAGATGTTCATTATTCACAATGAAACAAAAGCTAACATGGATTAGAAAGAAGCCATTAAAGTAACAGAAAAAACACAGTAACAGTAACTCATTCTGTAGTTAATTATTTTGGTACTTTGCAAACAGAATGAATAGCAATTCTGGTGGGAACTATGTTTCTTCATATATCTTATATATATATATATATATATAAAAAAAAAAAAATTCCCTTCTCACCCACCACGGGTGGTTCTTATCCTCTGAGCTCGGTCCTCTACCAGAGGCCTGGGAGCTTGAGGGTTCTGCGCAGTATCTTGGCTGTGCCAAGGACTGCACATTTCTGGACTGAGATGTCTGATGTTGTTCCTGGGATCTGTTGTAGCCACTGCTCCAGTTTGGGGGTTACTGCCCCGAGGGCCCCGATGACCACAGGCACCACTGTGGTCTTCACCTTCCAGGCCCTCTCCAGTTCTTCCCTGAGGCCCTGCCCTGGTATTTCTCCAGTTTCTCGTGGTCCTTTTTCCTGATGTTGCAATCACTTGGTATTGCTACATCTACCACAACGGCTTTCCTCTGATGTTTATCCACTACGACAATGTCTGGTTGGTTCGCCATTACCATTTTGTCTGTCTGGATCTGGAAGTCCCACAGGATCTTAGCTCTGGCGTTCTCCACCACCTTTGGGGGTGTTTCCCACTTTGATCTCGGGGTTTCCAGTCCATATTCTGCACAGATGTTTCTGTACACTATGCCTGCCACTTGGTTATGTCGCTCCATGTACGCTTTCCCTGCCAGTATCTTGCACCCTGCTGTGATGTGCTGGACTGTCTCAGGGGCCTCCTTGCACAACCTACACCTTGGGTCTTGTCTGGTGTGGTAGATCAGGGCCTCTATTGCTCTGGTGTTTAGGGCCTGTTCCTGGGCGGCCAGGATGAGGCCTCTGTGCTGTCCTTGAGTCCAGCTTTTTCCAGCCATTGGTAGGATTTACTGATATCAGCCACTTGGGTTATTTGCTGGTGGTACATCCCATGTAGAGGTTTGTCCTCCCATGATGGTATCTCTGGCACCTCAACCTCCGTTCCCTGTTGTCTGAGACATTCACTGAGCACATTGTCTGTTGAGGCTTTGTCCCTGATGTATTTATGGATCTTAGTTGTTTCGTCCTGGACAGTGGTTCTCACACTCACTAGTCCTCTGCCTCCGTCCTTGCGGCTCGTGTACAGTCTCAGGGTGCTGGATTTGGGATGGAACCCTCCATGCATGGTTAGTAGCTTTCTAGTCTTAATATCTGTGGCTTTCATCTCCTCCTTTGGCCAGCTGATTATTCCAGCAGGGTATCTGATTACTGGCAGGGCATAGCTGTTTATCGCACGGATTTTGTTCTTGCCATTATATATATATATATATATATATATATATTATATATATATATATATTATATATATAGATATATATATATATATATATATATATATATATATATATATATATTTTAGAGAGAGAGGTGATAAACATTTCTGAATCAAAAGTGTGTTTTGTACATTCTCTTTAAATTTAGTTTTCATTAGTTGTTAGTGGAAAATCATCTTAATTAACATAAATAAAGGCTTGAATGCTTTGGTTGGTTTGTAATTAATCCACACAACGTGTTTCATTTAGTGAATTGTGTTAATGAAATAAATTTACTGCAACAGGAAAACTTCTCCCACCCACCATAAATATGGATATAAAACTTCTAACTAACTCATTCGAAGTCTTAATGAGCTTCAAAGAAATGAATATTTTAATGTTCATATACTTGCTTCTAAGCAAATTCAGATGTAGGTTTATCCAATGAAGTGCAGTACTTTGTTCAGGACTAGAAAGAAAGCAAGTCTTATGATCACTAACCACAGAGAATGTTGTATTTTTGCCTGACTGCATTTCTAAGACGCTGATAACTTCTGAGTCTTTGACCTTTTTCCTCAGATGAAGCTCAGTCAGGAAAAAATAGATCTAGGTCTTTTATTTTGCAATCAGAAACCTTTTATATTTTTTTTCACTGTGAAACTGGATGTTTTCAGTGTTTCTCGTGACTGTCCAGAGTTCGGAGGTCACGCAACGAGAAAGAAGAAGAGGAGGTCTGTTGTGGTAAGGATGGGATTTGGATTTTTCAGGTCACAGTGAAAATGTGCTGAAAGTAAAAAAGAAAGAGAGAAAGCGTCTGAGCTCAGCTACTCCCACCTACACGCAGAATAAAGCAACAAAACCTTGAAATCCACCCACACATCAACCGCGCATTCAGAATCGATTCGATTATTTGCATCACACACACACTTCCCGTAGCGGTTCAGACATTTCTGAGCCTGCTGTAAACCACGCGGACTGCCGATGCTGGTTAATTTACGCGTGGTGACCTCTCACTGCTAAACCAGCGAGAACGAACTGAACCACCATCAGTCCGTTCACTCCATCCTCACAGCAACATGTCTTTGATTTCTGTCTCTCTGTCCATCTCACCGCTCGGCCCACTCTGTTCCCTCACTATCTGCCTCTTCATCGCTCTCCAGCTCCCTTACAGCTGATGGAGCTTATCACGGACAAATAGGCTTAAGAACTTTGCTATGGCAACGGCGAATCGTAAAAAGCTGCATAAGCACTTCATCCGGGGCCGTGATCCAATGCCTCCCCTTGGAGATGGTGCCCTCAACCTCCTGCAACAAGTAAAGGCAGGCCAGAGAGGCTCCTGGGAGGAGGAAGAGGAGGAGGAGGAAGGCTCAGAGAGGTGGAGAGAGAGAAGAGAGGCAGAGCATCTCTCTTCTGTCTCTGGTTTTCATTTAGACTGTCCAGCTGCCTCTCTGATGTCCGACGACTTTGACACCTTTTTCCCTTTGTGATTTTATTCCCACTGGAGCCGGACAGCAAACCTGAGAACAAGAAGCAAAGGTAAGAAAAAAACAAAACAAAAAAAACTAAAGTTGATTTTCCATTTCAAGATTTACAGGATATTTTTTCTTTCTTTTAATGAAAAGTAAAACAGAAAACTCGCCCATTTCCAGTTTGGTGATGTAGTTTGTCTTTTTTTAGCTAGAAAGAGAAAATCAGAAAAAGTAAATCTTTGCAGTAATTGCTCAAGAAGGATGGGCTGAAATTCACTTATTTATATTTACTTTCTGAATTTTTTTATGTTAAAAAGGAAGAATTTGCAAAAGGTTGCAAGATATGACGAGTGACCTCAATATTTGAATAACTAATTAAGGATAATGTGTCGTTTGCAATTCAAAATATTATTATAATTTTACTTTTTGCACATTAACAGACAGAATAAAAATTATTATATAATTGAATTGAAATATTTTTTTGCTAAGTTCCTTGAAACAGCATTTGTTTTGAAATGGTGCTATATAATGGACAAAATTGAACTGAATTTAAGTATTTATTTACATGTTTACTGAAATGTTTTAGCAGTAACCAAGAGAAAGAATCACAATTTTTCTAATTTGCAAGAAAATGTAAAACTTGACAATGAAGACGAAAAGTTTTGTTTTCTGAATAGTACATATTTTTTGCTAGTTTTTGCTATGAAATAAAATATTTTGTAGATGGTTTATAATGTTTAATGGTGATCTTCTTGCCATCCTTTTACATGTACATACAGAATGTAAGTAAACAAATCACAAAACAATGAAAAAAGATCCTTCAGATCCTCAGACTTTTGGTGAAAAACTTACATAAACCACATTAAAGATGTTTGGTTCAGATTTTCGAATTAACTGAAATGAAAAGACAATAAGGCATCTGATAACCTATCGCCATGTTTACAGGTCAGTCACCTCTCTGTTAAACCTGCGGCTGCAGCACTAATCTCACCTCGTCTGTTTGGAAACCTTCAAGCTGAGCATGTTGAGGATAATCTGACCTGCAAGCCCTAAAAAATGCAGCAGCGTGAAGAGCAGCTGTGGTTTAGATGACAGCATGAGCAGGACAGGAGGACAGAAAAGAGGACAGGCTTTGGGGAAACACATCCAGGAGTTTTGTTTATGCCTTTAGATTACATTGAGAATTCATGAAAGCAATAGAGAAACTTTGTCTTTTAAGTGCTGGGACTTATTCATGCCTGAAAACAGGACAGATTACTCAAACCTCTCCTGCTTCTCCCCCCTTTACCATCACAAAGAATAATCAGAGGCTGTAGCCCTCAACACCAAGCAGCACAGTGACTGTAGTACCTGATTAAATCTTTCATCTCAGTCATTACACATCAATCGGCTGCCTGCACTCCAGTTTTTATTTATTTATTTATTTCCTGCGCTAACAAAAGAATCCCGATTGATTATGGCTGTAAGCAGATACAACACCTGTTGAAGAAAAAGAGGCTGGAGGACAAAAAGGAGGATGTTGAACTTTGGTCAGACGATTGGACTTCATCTAAAGGAAAATTTATTAATTAGAGCAATAACAGTAAAGGAAAAACACCAACAAAATTGCTTAATTTATGATTATTTTTATGTAAAAAGGTTTAAATGATTTGGGCCAAAACAATTTTACAGCCACAGCACATTTTTTTTAATTTTCTAAGCCAAGTCATGCTCTACCGTAGCATATTTTTAAAAAAGTGTCTCGGCATTAAAACACCAAACTTCATTTCAGTTACGTTGTAAGCAGAGGTGAAGCTGTGAGTCCAGCTGAAATCTCTCTTCTAATAAAAGCAGCAGGGTAATTTTCACAAATGCATTTTTCTTGATGATTATTGTCATAATGTCTTAGCAGATCTTCCAGGATTCCTCAATTAGCATCAAAACAATCGCTGCTAAGGTTACGAGATCTGAGATAAGTTTTATAATTCACCAAGAGCTTCAATGGAAGTGGTTGAGGAGTAAAAGCCTGTACTATTATGTATGGGCTTTGTCACTTAATGTCATGCAAGAAAAAGGTTCTGCCAGGAAAATGTGTTAAAAACAACCTGCAAAAGCAAAAAAAAAAAAAAAAGTGTTTTGCATGAATAAAATTCTATAATTCTGGGTTGGAGGAAGCGTTTTTCTGCAATGTCACAAAAAGAAATTGCGTGATTCACAGCAAATTACCGGCAGCAACGTTTTCCAGAATTTTACTGTAGTAAATACAGCCATAATGTATGAGAGCAACAGCACAGAGCTACTAAAGCTAAAGCTACTAAAGTTTTCATTTGCTTGAGACAAATTACTTAAGAGTCACAAAAGTTCAGTTTTGTTTTTTTTAGCAAAAAACAAAACTGAAGTATAAACCTGTTAATAGTAAATTCTTAAAAACATTTTCATTTTATTTTTTATTTCATTCACTCAATAATAAATATGAATAGTTTATGGAACAACTGAAAGAAATTCTAAATGAAAAGGAGCAGAAAGAAGAATAAGTTTAGAATATACAGAATGTTATACAGAATATGCAAAGCCTTTTTGTTCCTGAATTACTTTATCTTATTTAAAACAACAATGGTTTTGGATATTTTGACTTTTATAAGGGTTATATAAGATTTCCATGAAAATTGTTCACCAATGAGAACACCCTAAAATCTAACTGTTTGCATCTCAACTCCTTCAACATAATTAGTTGAGATTGGTGAAAAGCAAATCAGAACTGTCACTTTTATGCTACAGATTTCCCAAGACTTTAAACAAAAAAAGACAAACAAAAAAAAACATTTATCTGTTGCCAATAAGAGAATAAACCATGTAGGTGGTAACTTTCCGTCGTTTTTATCCTCCAGGAGACGGAGGGCAGGTCCATGGCCTCCTGGTTCAACTGGAATGAGCCGTACCAGCGGAGCCCCCGCAGGGACCCGGCTGACGTCGTCTCCGACACCCTGATGCTGGAGTTCAGCTGGCAGCTGAAGGAAGCGGAGCGGCTGCAGAGGGAGAGGGAGAACGAGTACCGGCGCTTGAAGACCGGCGTGGATTACAGCTGGCTGGCCACCACGCCTCGCTCCTCCTTCAACATCAGCACCGGGGAGAGGCTGGCCCTGGAGGACCTCTGCTCCAAGGTGCCGCCCCCCTGCTGCGGCCTGGTCATCCTCAAGTAAGGGAGTCAAAAAATGTCAAAATTTTACAGCGGCTTTTTGTTAAAACTGCAAAAATAAATAAGCAATTTGAGATCCAACAAGGTGGGGTGATTGTCTGAAACTCGATTGGTTGTTCATAGGATTTACAATTTAGAAAAAAAAAATGGTAAAGGCATTCAAGTTTGTACTTACTGTCAAGAGTCTGAACTTTTTAGAAAGACTTTTTGGTGCAACAGCTGCAAGTATTTTGGGATATTTCTATATTATGATGACGTATAAGGCCATTGTGGATATTAAAATAAATAAGAAAAAGTTTCAACAAAACAATTTTGAATTTTGAGATGAAACTCAGAAATTTTCTAGAAAAAACTTTCAAAATTTGTAAAAATATATATTTTTTTATTTTTAAAAATATAAATTTCCATGTTTTTTAGAAAATTTCTGAGATTAATCTCAAAATTGGATTGGATAGGATTTTATTTTGGAGTAACAAATGGGATTGAACGCCTGGGTTCACAACATTATACTGATTTTAATCCGTTAAAACCTTCACATTTATTTTCACTTCATATATGAACTAAAATATGTTAAGGTTTGAGGTTGCAACATGACAAAATGCAAAGTTCAGGGAATATGAATACTTTTGGAATGCACTGCATGTACAGTTCATTTACCATTTAAACAAGTATTTAGTCATATGACTGCATTAGGTCTGCAGATTTATAATAAAAAATACCCACACGGTGCTGTCAGCAGAGAAAAAATGGCTTTTTCATTTGAAACCAAGTGGAACAAAATAACACCAGTCAAACATTTTTATTTCTGATGACGAGAGTGACAAGAAGTCAATCTTCAAAAGTAATAATTTAAAAGAAATACATCTATTTAAAACAGAATTCAACCTATTTCAGAATGTTTTATAACGACTCAATTTTCTACACGAATATGGCTTCAGCATATGGGGGAAAAAAATTACACCATCAATGGCACACAGTAAGTAGCTGTGTGAGTAGATTTGTCCTTGAAAGAGACACATCTTGAATAGCAGCGCTAAGTTTATTCTCTCATTTTTTAAATAAAAAAGTAATAGCTAGATGTGTATCAGTATTTCTCTCAGGAAAGAGTCATAGCTTTACACAGAAGGACTGTGCTTGCAGTAATTTTTATAACAATAGCAGCTAAACACCAAGTCACTGGGCAGAAATAGTTTCTATAAAAAAAAAAAAAAAAAAAAAAACTTTTATGTTGTTAAGATTAACAATCACTCCATGAATGGATTTTTTTCTGGTAAAATATAGAGCTAAAGACTCATAGTCATCTCTTGTGTCGAGAGAGGTCTAGTTTTTATTATTACAGAAAACACACAACCACCACCATGTTTGTTTGATTTAAAACATTTAGAATCTCCTTTAAAATAGAGTTTGTTGTTGTATCAACACTTTTATTTATTTTATTTTAAATGACCGAAAGTGACTCAACAAACCTGTTCCCAACCACTGAAACTAACTCTATTAATGGGAGATTCAACTGATGAGCTAAAATTCACCAGTTTTATGCATTTTCTGTATAAACAGAAACATTTTAAGTAACTCTATGCATCAGATTACTTGAGGAAACCGATTATTGTGGCTCTCTTGTCTGTCGTTTGCCAGACGTTAATCTGCAGTGGAAATGTTCTGAGTTCACCTCGCCACCTGTTCTTGGAAAGCTGCTGTCGTCTCAGATGTGTCGTTAGAGCAAACAACACCCGCACCATGTTGTTTTTGCTCATGTATTCACTGTTTACCACTTATTATAACATTAACTGTTCAAACCTGTTATAGATTGTTTGCTTTTTAATGAACTATTAACGTATTTGTTACCAATAAGAGAATAGAATAATGTTTTTGTCTTCAAATGAAAGTGATTTCTGATGTAATTGGTAAATTATAAATTCTGCAAAGCCAAAACAAAGGGCAAAGGGTTCAGAAAATTTTCAGAAATGCTCCGTTCTTAGAACTGCTGCAGTCGGGCGACTTACAAAAAAATATCACTTAACAGAAGAAGCAACAAGTGCTTAAAGGCTTGTTAAGGCAAAGCCATCTCCTGTGGGGAGGCGGAGCGGTAATTGGGAGCTTGGCAGGAGTGTAGCGTTCACACAGGTGGGTGGGAGAATAACTATTATCCTCAGATGTTGTGTTCCTTGTTTCTCATCACTTTAATGTTTCTGGTCAAACCTGGCTGAGAATTTCACTTAACAGGACTGTGAGTAGGTTTAATTTTCTGTTTCGTTTAAAATCCACCTGAACGAGAACATCTTGACAGCTGTGACTCATCCTGTGCTTGTTTGTGGTTCAGATTATGATCGCTGTGTTTTGACAGTATGTGAACCCTTGGTTTTCAAGTCTTTAATTCAGGAAAGCTCGGATTTATGGCAATGGTTTTCTTTAAACTTCTTTACTTAATTACACTGTGCACAAAGGCTCATGCAAATATAAAATTCCCAATAAGATTTGGATGAAGATTCGTCTGACAAGTTTTTCTTATTTAGCCCAGTGTATAACTTCAAGTCTGTATGCATCAGAAAATGTTGCTGGTAAATAAAAATGTATACAATGAAATTCAAATTTTTAAGAAACATTAATGTTGCTCCACCCTGAGTAAAAACACCTTTTAAAGGTCTAAATGAATGTAATATTTACACATTCGTTGAGTGAACACAAACTTCTCAATCAGCTCTGCTGATGATCCTAACTCTGCTAGCGTCGTCTTGACCTTTTTTAAAATTCCACTCAGTCGTTGTTGTTTGAAAGTGAATGTAAAAGTTCACCTTATTTGTCATTTCCTATTCTGGAAAAACATTAAGCTTGACAGTTGAATATTAATGAAAATTTTTCAGCTTTGTTGCCTGAGGAAAGATTTTCATTGCACATTTCTTTGTTTATGAGATTATCCCATAAAAAATTGGCAATGGCTTGTGTTTAACTTAAAATGTACTTTAAATACATTAAGATTTGAAGCTGCAACATGACAATAGTCTTTAAGCACCATCTGCTTCTTCTAGCCTGAATGTTAAGCAAATTGACACATCAAGTAACCAGAACGAGCATCTTACCACCAGATTCCTCTCCTTTTGTTTTTCTGACCAGTTCCTGCTTTCTTCATTTCTGCTCACAGGTTCCGGGATGCTATGCAGGCCAACGAGCCCGAGCCACACGAGGTGTCGGGCCACTTCCGGGCCGTCCTGCTGGAGGTTCTGGATCAGCTGAAGGAGGAGCAGGAGGCGCAGCGGCTGGCTCGCCAGTGGAACAACAAGCGAGCCATGAGCATGAACTTCAGGTCGAAGATCAAGATCAACCCGTTTGGAAGCACGACGGGCCTCACCACCGCGGTGGGCAACGGGACGGGGCTGAGCGATCTCAAAACCGTCTCTGAGGATGTGGAGAAGGGGATGGAGAGGGACGAGAGGTCGCAGAGGGTGTGGAGCATGCCCGACTTTAGATATAAAGGAACCAGCAGCAGCAGCAGAGTGGTCTGATGGTGGGCGTGTGAAGGAAATGTGGACTGATGAGACTTTATGTCTAACACGTTCAAGGCCAAGGCAATATTTTCTCTTTTCTCTCAACCATGTTTTCAGTACTTGAAGCAGTTAATAAGTTGCCTGAGATTATTTTCTGCAGCGATGTCTCTTATTTTGTAGAAATTTGGCATCAAAGCATTGAGGGATATTTATACTGCGGCCTAATAGTATTATTTAAAAATTGTCAAAGTAATTAAAAGTTTTTTTTTCTTTTTTGACACAAAAGATGCTGCTTATTTGGTCAAGGAGGAGAAACTAAATGTGGGAATGTATAAAACGGCATTAGAGTGCAAAATGTTTCTGTAGGAGGGATGCAGTTCGTTTCCATATGATTCAAACAGTGAGTCATCCTCTGTGTGTCAAAACAGCAGGACTGAACAGTGAAATGCATTATCCAAGATTAAACAACTGAAAGCTTTTCCTCCTGCGCTTTTATTTTCAAGAGGGTTTAAAGGGAAGAAAAAATCCCCCAGAAATATTCAATAAAATGTTGTTTTTTTTTTGAGTAAAATTTCTCCAGTGGTATTTGCTGTCCTGTCAAATGGATCTGCACGCACCATCATACAAACACAGACTCAAACTGGCTTCATATAAAGAAAAGCTTTTTTTTTTTAACCACCATTTTTAAAACAGACACATACGGAAAATAATCAGCATTAATAGGTCACACCTAATTGAATCCAATGCACTGTTCCATCCTCAGAATAAAAAGAATAAACAAAAAAATTATTATTTTAGAATAAACTGAAAACACTTTGGCTCCTAAAGCCAGAATTTACATCAAAAACTTAATGATTCATTTCCTTAAATAGAGTTGGACAACATATTTTTAAAAAATATATAGTTAAAACCTTATATTTCTTTTTTAATTATGAACAGAAAAAGGTGTCAAGCCCAGAAAAGATATTTCCACACAATGCAGACATTTAAATGACAGACAGGTTTGTGTTTGACTTGACATTTCGACTGTACAGACTGAACTGGTAGATTTTATGTTTAAATGGTGTTTCAACCTAAAGCATAGTTAAAAATTGTCAAAGTAATTAAAGATCTTTAATTACTTTGACAAGTAATCCGCTCAAAAACAAAACTTTCTACATAACAGTTCTTACACTGGACTCAAGGTAAAGAAAACGCAGGTAGTGAACCTGCACTGAATCCAGCTCGACGCTGCCCCTGTGTGGTGGAAAAAAGTCACTTCAGTTCATCGCCTCTCCTTCAGAAAACTCGTTTGCTCCAGGGAAGCAGGAGGAGCCGTTTCCTGAGATCTGCAGATGCTGACGTCTATGACCAACAAGAGGGGTCACCATGGCGGCTTCACAGGGTAGAGTTCAAGAACTCCAGCAGCTCTGCTCGATTTTTATCCCGCTGTTAGCACAAATTTCACCCAAGACAACAAAAAGCATCAAATTAAACAACTCAAAAAAGTGTCTTTTTTTTACCTTAATTAGGGGAAAAAAGGTATTACCTGTTTGTCTTTTTTCGACTTCTTTACTTTCATTTTTATCTTCTTCCCTGAAATCATGCTGTACTTTCCTTTTTTTCTGTCTTTTAAATACTGAAAGAAAAAAATTGCTAAAATGAAACACTACAAACTAAAAATCATACTAAAAGGAAATAGAAATAGTTTCAGACACCTAAAAGTGATCAATTAAAAAGTTCGAATTGATCAACTATTTGATCAATATCGATCATAAACTGAATTTCAATGGTTCTGAAGCTGTAAAAAATTTTTTATCATGAATATCAATATAATGAATAATAATATTTTTAGAACTGAATCCTGCTTTTTTAATTTTGCTATCAGGGTTTCTACATTTTTTTACATTTCAAAATGCCACCCTGGTCTTTTTTCACATAATAAACATTTAAGTACAAAAAAATCTTTGCTACCTTCGAGATCTGAACCGGTCCTGATTTGTCATCCTCTCCTTTTGTCTTCTTGTCTCTTTTACGCTTTTGCTTTTTCTCTTTCTTCCCTTTCTGTTGCAAAACACAAAGAAACTAAGTTATGCATTTCAAAAGAAAATGTATTTCTCCTTTAAATATGAAGAATTAATTCAAGAAAAAAAAAGTTTTTGTTACTTTTTTGTGCTTCTCCTTTTTTCTTCTTTTGGACTGCTTTCTGGTTTTACTGCGAGAGTCTGAAAATAATAAGAAAGCAATACACTAAGACAAAAATATTGTCTTTGACATTCAGATACAAACATTAATTCCTAAACCTGACCATATGCAATTAATAAAATTATATTTCATAAAATTTCACACTTAGACACACCCACATGCTTTGATGTCCGAGAAAATTTTTATAACTTTTGACCTTCAATGCCTCAAGACTATGCTGAGTGACTCTTAAGTCTGTATCTGAAAAACTGCGGGTCAAGTTCAATCAGACACGGCGTCTATAAAAAAGAGAAAATTATGTCTTTGATCCAAAATGGTCGACTTTCTATTGGTTTCAGACCATGGCTCCAAGAGACTTTTTTGTACGTCCTGACAAGATACACATCTGTACCAAGTTTCGTAATTTGAGGACAAAGCATGGCTTGGGCTGATAATTTAAAGTATTCTAGGGGGCGCTATAGAGAAATGAGGCCACACCCACTAAAATTTGTTCTGGATTCCTGTTGGGGAGTGGAAAAGGATCCATCCTACTGAGTTTGGAGCAGATCGGCCCGAAACTGGAATTCAGAGCCAAACATATGGCATCGACATTACAGGTCACTTCGCCACACCCACCTGCTCCATAGAATCTGGTCAGGGTTGGAATCCACAACACACCAACATGTCTTCTGTCTCTGGACATAGTTTCAGGTTGATTACGTCAAAGGGATAAGATAGCGATTGTTCACAGTAAAACATGACACTTCCTGTTGTCAGGGGGCGTGGCCTAACTGATGTAATCATTTGACCATTGGGTATTGTAGGACACTCGATGATGATCAATCACTGAAAGTTTGGTGCCTCTGTGAGTTTTTGTGTAGAAGATTTAACGGTTTCGTGTTTGATGGCGAGTAGATGAACTTTCAGCTTAAAATACACCATTTTTAAACAGGCTTGACGCGTCCGCCAAGTTTGGTGAGTTTTGAATATGATAAAGCCCCCAAAAAGCCCCCTCTTTAGGGTGGAAGAATCGTAACAATAAACAGTATAAAAACAATAGGCCTTTGCAGCGCTTAGCTGCTCGGGTCTAATAAAAGCTTGGACATTTTTAGACACACTTACCACTGCTGCTAGAGCTACTTCTGCTGCTGCTTGAAGAATGTGATGAATCTGAGGAGCTGGAAGAAGTGGGAGAGGAAGAGGAGGGTGAAGATGATGAGCTAGAAGATGAAGAAGATCTGCTGCGACTCCGTTTCCGCTTTCTTTTTTCTCTTCCTAAAAAACAAAAGAAAACAGAAAGAAATCAGCAACAAAAACATAATTGATCCATCCTTAAGAATTTCCTCTGTCACATCCTCCTTCAAATAATCTATTATCCTCCTCTGTGATTTTCCTATTTTTCTTCTCCAATATTTTTTGTCCAATACATCAACAGTCCCCTGTATGCATAAGAAAGAGCTTTGCCTCTTTGACTTTGCCTTCCAACAGTGAATTGTTTCCCATTCCTTTTAAATGTTAAATATCAAAATTTTCTGCTCTGCCTCCTGTTACTTTCTTTACACCACCTCCAAACCACACTTCATTTCATTTTTGCAGCTATTCAGGGTTCCCAAGCATTTTTCAGAATTCCACACTTTTCAAAACTCAAATATCCAAAGTTTTCCTTAAATGTTTTATTTTTTTTTTAAATCTTTTTTAATTAAATAAAAAACTTCACTGTTAATTTATTGCAGCAGTTTCTAAAGATGTCAAGATTACACATATGGAACCTAGAAAATTAAGAGATGGACAAACTGGTGAATGACTGACAAAAATAAATGATGACTGGATGAATAAACTTGTAGATGCCAAACATGCATTAATGTACAGATTAACAAACAGATCAATTATCAGATGGAGACAAACTGATGGATGGATGAACAGCAAAAACCTGTCTAGAATGAATAAATAAATACTATGCACCTGCAACTTCTCTCCTTTAGCCTCTATACACTTTGTAATATAAATTGCTAAATGAAAAATAAAATAATCAAACCCCAAAATCTTCAATGGAAACAAGTAGGAAAATGTAGTGAGATTGTATCTCCATATTTAGCCAGAAAGACGGAGAAAGTAACCTGCCTCTGCTTCTTGACCTCGTTCTTTCATCTGTTCTGGACGAGGAACTGGACACCCTGTGTTCCGTTCTGGTTGACTAGAAACACAATCATCATAGTTTGTATATGGATGCACATCAGACAAATCAGGAAACTAATTTGTATTAAAACGAAACATATTATTCAAGTAATATAACATTACACACAACGTAGCGGTCTAAAAAGCTGCACAAATAACACACGTAAGATACTTTAATTCGTTAGTTGTATTTTCAGTTGGTGCTACAGTACAAGAGCTACGATAGGCTAAAGCTAAAGCTGTGCGGGTTAAACAATAGTTCCCGTACTCACCATAACGACAAGTTACGACAGTTAGGACGTCATATAATTATTAACACAAACACTACTGTGGAAAAATGTCAAATTGATATTTATTTGCAGTTATCACCGGCGTATTAGCAGCAGCTAGCCATCTTTTTACACATTTCGTATCCCATGATGCACCGCTGGTGGCTACATTCAAAACAACAGGCGCCAGAGGAAAATGCCATAGCGCCCCCCGTGGTGAGTGAATGATACCACTGCCTTACTCTTTAAAGTTAAAACTGTCAGTTTGACATGTTTTCATTTTCTTTTTATTAAGTAATAATTTATTCATAAACCAACATAAAACAAAGTCAACTCGTAGATTATAGAAATTTAAACCAATAGCTTCATGAAATACATTATTCCTGTACTAATCATAGCTTTGATTTATTATATTGTTTCTTGTTTTTCTGAGGAACTTTTTTTCTGCTACATACGATGCTCGAGTTCCTTCTTTAGTAAATAAAGAAAATGAGAAATTTTTACATTTTTATTCCAATCTTAGAGATGTATAAAAGAAACCAGCACATCAACAGTAGTATTGTACAAAACACTTTTAATATTGTATTAGAATATTGTACAAATAGGAGCAAATGCCCATATTATAAAAATGAGAAGCAAAACATGTTGAAGTATCAGTGGTTTGAGGCATGAGAGATCATTTGAAAAGCTTTGAATGTCAGATAAATCCTATTCGTGGTCAGTTTCATCAAGCCATCAGAGTAGCATTTGGATGTAGAAAGAAATAAAAAGCACTTTGGCACCATGCATCTTCAAACATAAGGAGAAGCTTTTATACTATGAATAACACATGAGTTTTGTTGCAGTTGTAGTTTTTTATGACTCAGTAACTAGAAACAAAGAAACAGACACAGAGTAAAATGAGCTGAAAATAAAACCTAAATATGATTAATAACTTTGAAAAGATTAATAGAAAATCTCAGTACCAGTTGCCATTGTTTGCTTTGATAAAACTGACCATGTCGTTCCATATACAAACTGTATGTACATTTAAAAATACTTCTACACTGAACAGAAAAAAAAAACAGTTTAGTTTGTAACATGCATTTGTGCTTATTTGTACAAGAGTCCTTGGAAATAGAGGAAACGCTTGGAAATTGATAGAATTAAAGATAAATAAAAGTTCACTAGTTATCAGAAGACAAAGCGACCATCTCAGCCTGCATCAGAGCTGAGCTGTTGGACTCTGATTCCTTGCACCAGGGCCGGGCTCCAGTGAGGTAAGGTGAAGCAGCTGATCAAAGGCCTCCTATTTTCAATTTAAGTTTCAGCAGATATACCAAGAAAAATACATGAGGCATCCATAAAATACAAAAATAACATTATCAAAAGCTTATCAGATAGCAGTGAAGGGAAGAAGTCGCCTGCTTTGACTGCTGTAATAATTATTCAACATTCTTTTAAAATCTTTAGTGAAAAAAGTAATTTCTTGCTTCCCATAATTTGGAAGAACACATATTTCTTCTTGCTTGAAAAAAATAACTCATTCCTATTTTTGAGTCTGCCATATGTCATGTTTAAGATAACAGTTTCAAATGTAAAAGCCTTTGTTCAGATGTCTTTGTGCACAAAAAATGTAAAAAGAATAGTAATGTGCTGATAAATTGTGTTTTTCAGATCATAGTAATATGTTTGAAAACCAGAGCTTGGGAAAAAAAAAAAAACCTCTGTGTCTGCTTTTCTATATGAAGGGATGAAATGATTCTATTCAGGCTTCTGTTTTGTTCTTTGAGTTTTCTCCAGCAGCCATACTTCCTTCGTTCTCCTCCTCCTCAATGGGAACCTGAAAGAAACACAACATAGCATCACAAAATACTGCAGAATAATAAATGCATGATACAAGCAATGGTTAAAATACAGCAGTAAGGATCCTAACCTCCCAGTAAAGAGAGTCATCAAAGCAGTTCTGATCTGGAGGCTGTCCCCAGAATGGTAGCTTCATTATCAACCCTGGAAGAAAAAAAAAATTAAACGTTATTGCTGCTTGTGCACAATCATAAACCAATTATTGTTTCAGCTTTACCCCTACTCACCAGTTATAGCACCTCCAATCAGAGCAAACCCGAGAGACGAAGCCAGGGCAGCAGCTTGCATGTCTGCAGAGCTGACATTTAAAGTGAGAGGAACATTATTTCAAAGCAACACGTTTGTTGTAAGTGCATAATTTTAATTACTGTATATGGAATATTCACCCTTTATTTGCCTTCCCCAAAGCCACAGCAACAATGCCAGCCAGTCCTCCAAGGATGCCAGGCATGCCGTGCAGATTGTGGACTCCACACGTGTCCTGGATGCCCAGGTTGGACGCCAGGATCGGCTGCAAAGTCAAGAAAAAGACAAAATAGTCTCTGTTTAAAAATAATAACATTTTAATAATGAAATTCTCTTTTAAATGTGTTTGCCACAAATATTTACTACTGGACAGAAAGTTGTTTAACGCAAAATGCAAAACTATAATATTGAGGAAATTTCTTTTTTCTGACTTTGAATAAAATCGAGACCTTATACACCTGGATTTTGACTTGGAGGGATAATGTATTGTGCCTAAATTCTGCTAAGTTACTTGTCTTTTTTTTGTCAATTTCTTTTTAAATTTCCATCTTTTCAGGTATACAAAAGTAAATCCCACACATAAAAATATCATAAAAGAAACCTCAGCATCCAAAAAACAATGTTCTATCCATTTTTCGGTTTTATGCTTGTGGGAACTTTTCCGGTTCCTCACAATTACCGTAGTCTTGATAAAATAAATCTAACCGATTACTGAACTTTTGGATTGAACAGGAATCCAAGGCAACTAGTGTAATCATGGAAAGGAGTGCTTCTAGTTTGGAAACATCTAGTTCTAATTTTTATAACTGATTTGGCTCTATTGGTATCTTAATGCCACTTCATTTAGAACAGCTGAGTTGTTCATAGTGCGTCTGAGACTCAGCTGGAAAAAGGTTCTGGTTCACAAAAAATGGTAAAAGATGTAAGAAGTGGGCATAGAGTCTGGGCCCTCTCCTGCAACATTGAGGACGCTGTTCTAGTTTGATGTGATGGTGACACATTCACTTTTGTGACACATTAAGGATTTGAAGAACTCCTTGCTGTGGCTATATTACTTTTAAATTGCTAATTTTCAACTCACAGAGAGGAGTTTGAAGCCCAGGGTGGAAATGATGCCAGCCACTAATCCAATCAGCATCGCTCCAAATGGCTGGATGTTCATGTCGGCACACGTTCCCACTGCAACACCACCAGCCAGAGTGGCATTCTGTATGTGGACCTGTGTTATTATAAGGCATATAAATGAGTACAAGTCTAAAATATCCTTCAGTTAACTATTTTAGATGAATGTAAGGTGCCTGACCATGTCCAGTTTCCCTTTGTGTTCAACCAGGCTGGAGATGGCGTACGCAGACAGCACACAGGCGGCCAGGGAGACATAGGTGTTGATCACTGCAGTAAGCTGACTGGCACCTGATTCAGCGATGGCTGAGTTGAAACTGGGCCAGAACATCCACAGGAACACAGTTCCTGCAGAACAAGGTTGTTCATTTAAGATGGTGAGACAGTTACAGCAAACCCAAATTTATAAGCTGCACTGCTATTTGTGTCCACTTGGTGGCAGTAGTAGCGCATGCGGAGAAGGACGGCACATGTTCTAATACAAATCACAACATTCTAGTTTCTTATTTTTATTATATGCAAGTGTTACGTCTATATGTGTTTAGGCAGAATGTGTCCAAATGTGAGGAATCCAGCGTCATATATTTGCACGTATTTGAAAAAGAAGGTAAAGATTGTGAAAAGCTGCCCAGACAAATGCATAACTCCTGAAATAAATATACCATCATGTTTATATCACTGAAATTTTCAGTACAATGTTAAATATCGGAGTGTAATGTATGCTCCCTTGCAATAAAAAAGTCATTGACAGTTATTTTCACTTACCAATCATAGCAAACAGGTCAGAATGATAAACAGATCCGTCATTTTCATGTCCGTTCCTCAAACCGGGTCGGTAAAGAACCCGAGCCACTGCCAAACCAAAGTAAGCACCAAAAGCGTGTATGATCATTGACGCTCCAACATCATTAGCCTGTAAAATGAGATGTTTCACAGTATTTTCAGGTGAAAATGCCAGAATTGGGGTTATAATCCTTAACATAAACTGTTATAAACTCACGTGAAGAATTTCAGCCACCAGATGCTCATTGACGGAGAAGATGGTGATCTCCAGAATGGTCATGATGAGGAGCTGCACTGGGCTGGTTTTACCCAGAACAGCACCAAAGGAGATCAGGACTGTTGCTGTGCTGAAGTCTGCATTTATCATTCTGCAGCAAAATAAGAAAAATAACCCAGTGATTATTACTAAAATTATTTACCCCTTGATTCTTTCTTTTTTTTATTTGACACATTTTGTCACCTTAATATTTGGTGAGGATTTTACCTGTTGGCTATGTTGCCTGGTCATTGGAATATTGTTTATTTACTACAAAAGCACAGCTGCATCCATTTTAAGATTATATATCTTTTAATGACTAGCTAACTTATGAAGGTAGTCGATTGCACTTGATTTTGTTTACGTATCAAAGTAAAGAACTTTGGACTTTTTATTGAAAAGTGCAATTTCTGCACTAAAAGCAGAAATTGAGAATCATTTTATTTCCACTTTGTCATCGGTTCTTCTTATAAAATCCCAATCAAAAGAATTGTTACATTAAAAAAATACAAGAAAATTCAAGGACTGTGAGTGCTGATGCAAGCCTAATATTAATTTTAAACGATTAGATTTTTGTGATTGCAGCACACAATGGGCTCGGCCATTTCAGAGACGTACTTGAAGATGTTCATTTTAATCTTGCCGTTATCCAGGTGCCACAATCCCTGCATGAGGAGGCCCCACTGGAGACCAAAGGCGGCCAGCAGCAGGTTGACGCCGACGCTGCTGAACCCGTATTTCTTGAGGAAAGTCATCAGGAACCCGAAGCCGATGAAGATCATGACGTGGACATCCTGAAACACTGCAGTGCGAAATAAAAAGCAGCAGTCACTTGTTCTGTTGCTAAACGAGGACACGATCAAATCGAATGAAGAACTTCAAGGTAAAAATGCCGGTCTCAGTTTAA